GGGGGCCGAAAAAAGTTAAATGCCCACGAATCTCATTAGGGTTTATAATCATATGAAAGAGAGGTTTAGGGTTTAGGGTTTAGAGTTTAGGGTTTAGGGGTTCAGAGTTCAGGGTTTAGGAGTTTCGAGTTTAGGGTTTGGGGGTTCAGAGTTCAGAGCTTAGGGTTTAGGGGTTTAGAGTTTAGGGTTACGGGGTTGAGAGTTTAAACTTTAGGGTTTAGGAGTTTAGGGTTTATTAGAGGTTTAGAGTTTAGAGTTTAGGGTTTAGGAGTTTAGAGTTTAGGGTTTAGGGGTTTAGAGTTTAGAGTTCAGGGTTTAGGAGTTTAGAGTCTAGGGTTTAGGGGTTTAGAGTTTAGAATTTAGGGTTTAGGAGTTTTTAGTTTAGGGTTTAGGGCTTTAGAGTTTAGGGTTTAGGGCTTTAGAGTTTAGGGTTTAGGGGTTTAGAGTTTAGGGTTCAGAGGTTGAGAGTTTAGAGTTTAGGGTTTAGAGTTTAGGGTTTAAGGGTTTAGAGTTTAGAGTTTAGGGTTCAGGGGTTCAAAGTTTAGAGTTTAGGGTTTAGGAGCTTAGAGTTTAGGGTTTAGGGGTTTAGAGTTTAGGGTTTAGGAGTTTAGGGTTTAGGGGTTTAGAGTTCAGAGAAAATAAAGCCAACCAAACCATGATAAGCATAATGCTCCGACCCATCAGGGAGCCAGAGGCGGTTGGTTTTAAACACAGCCACGCTCAACTGGCAACGGCGGGAGCCGCGGGCATTTCCCGGTATTCCGGCATCAGCTAATGCACGGAGCTCGTCAAGTGAGTTACGGATGTGGCTGGGCAGGCTTTCGCTATCAACAGGTAGGTTGGCGCACATATCAGACAAGTAATGCTGCAGCGGACCAGGTGACGAACTACAACCAACCCGGGCCAAAACAATGCGCTGCATACGTACATACATGCGTACAACCATACAACCAAGCATACATACATGCACGCATACATACATACATACATTCATTCATTCATTCATTCATACACAGATACATATACACGTACAGACATACATACATACATGCATAGACATACGTACATACATACATACATGCATACATACACACGCATACATCGATACACACACTTACATACATAGATATACATACATACGTATTCATACATATACATGCATATACATACATATACATACATGTACATACATATACATACATATACATACATACACATACATATACATACATATACATACATATACATACATATACATACATATACATAAATATACATACATATAAATGCATACACACACATACACATACACATGTACATATACATACACATACATATACACATACATACAAAGCATATATATATATATACATACATACATATACACATACATACGCATGTACATATGCATATAGATAGACATAGACACGGACATATGCATATACATAGACATAGACATAGACACAGACATAGATATAGACATATACATATACATATACATACAAAACATTTATAAATACACATACACGTACACATGCACATACACGTACACATACACATGCACATGCACATACACATACACATACACATACACATACACATACACACATACATACATACATACATACATACATGCATACATACATACATACACATACACATACACTTACACATATACACATACGCATACGCATACGCATACACATACACACATACACATATACACATGCATATACATATACATATACATACGCTTATGCATATGCATATACATATACATATGCATATGCATAGGCATAGGCATAGGCAGAGGCATAGGCATATACATATACATATACATATACATGATATACATATGCATAATATACATATACATATACATACACATGCACATGCACATGCATACACAAACACAAACACATACACATACACATATACCTACGTACGTGCGTCCCTGGGAACGGCCCTTCTCGCTCCTTTGGGATTGGCCCTGACAAAACAGCCGTCCTTGTGGTTGGCGGTTGGTCCGTGGACTTCCATTTCTCGCTTCAGGGCTTTGTCGTCCCGGTAGTTTCGGACTACCGCTGCTTGGGTGTTGTCCTCCAAGCATCCAGAAAGTGGAAAAAGCAGACAGATCGTCCTGTTGAGAAGGGTGTGCGCAAGTTCCACCAATCTATTGCTTGGGCTGAAACCGCCGGTTGCACACCGGTTTGCGCCGCAGCCTCTTCCAAACTTATGTGTTGCCTTCCATGCTACATGGATCTTCCTTCTTGGAGGAAAAAAATAATAAAAAATATACATGTGCGGCAATGGGGTCGCCGTTTACTGGGTTGGCCTGCAGGTGCCCCAAGTGCAGCAGTCATAGGTGAAATCGGTTGGGCCCCTTTCTCTGTGGAAGTCGACAAAACTCAAGCAACCCTATTTGGCCGCCTTTGTTCAGCTGACCCGCATGGTGCCCACCGCAGTCTTGCTGCTCGCATTTTTCGATATGCTCTCGGTATTCCCTCTTCGTAGGCGCACCAAGTTCGGTGCGGTCTCTGTAATGCGGGTGTACCTTTGCCTGTTGCCGCCGGAGTCGTGCCTGGCTGAGATTATCGGTCCCTTGCTCGTTGGAAGCACCGTTTTGCCCGGCCGGCCCTGATCAGCTTGGTTTCCAACTTCGTCAGGCTGAGGTGGCGCAGCTTACCTTTGTAGCACTTTTCAATTTGTGCCATCCCTGCTTGAACTTTCGTTCAGATATTCATTCTTCCAGATTGCCAAGGCATGTGGTAAGGGAGTGGACACTTGCTCGATGTGGCAGTCATCCCTTCATTGATGGGCGCGCTGCTCGACACAGCGGTTTATGTCATTCCTGCCCGTGCGGGTCCGCTGAGTGGAGCCTATTTCATGAACGGCGAGTCAAGCGCCTGGCTATGCGGCCAAGGGCGTGCCGCCTAGAATCACCCAGGCTAAACTGTATTTATTTGCCGGCGAAGGGTCATGCCGCCTTGAATCAAAACGAAGCTGTTTGAGTCTGCTCCCATTACTCGTGGCACAGGGTCCCGCCGCTTTGTATGGAGGCGCACGATGTCGCCTGTTCCTCGCTCGCTGCCAGTTCATTCTCACGCTGCCTGCTGTCGCGCGTGCACGTGGGATTGCAGGTGGTGCGTGCACGTAGTTAGGCATGCGCGTTGCAGCGAGCATTGGCCTCATGCTCCGCCGTGCACCCCTATTTAGTGAGGTCGCCGTGATCGCTCTTAGGCCGAGCAGCTCGCGCGTGGAAGCAGGTGCGAACGCAAGAGAGAGCCCAGTGCCGCCAGCATGTGTTCAGACATATCTGACGCTGGAATTTACGATCTCCAATGGATCGCGCACAGCTGGACGAGGCGGCCGCGGATTTGTCGGGAGCAGTGCGGAGCCACAGTGTGTGACATCCGCATGCCGAATTGTGTTATTCCCTAATTTAAATCCTCATAGTCCTACCCTGCTCTCGCACGTCGAGGTAGCTGTTGTGCAGGAAAACATGGTCATGGGGTTTCCTCCCAGAGCCCGACACAAGAGGCACATGCAAGCCCAAACGAAACAAATTCCGTTTGCAACCCGACAACCAAACCATTTAGCCGACTGGGTTGTCGGCCACTTTGATGTCATCCAGCACGGCACGCTGATTTTATTGCATCGGTGGACGCATTTTGGCATCATGACAATCGCATGCGGTTGCGGTATGGGAGCTTTATCCTGAATCTTGAGGGCTGGGTCCGGACGAGCTTCCCTCGACTGACCCGACCCAGCGACCATGCGGATGAGCGTGTGTTTCGTCTAAGTCAACTGGACAGAGGAAAATGATGGGAAATGCAAACGATGTGTTTTCGTTGATGCCACTAGTGGTTATTCGAAAACAGGTTGATTCAGCAACCTGGGACGCTAGAAGGAGATGTGGCAGAAGCACAGACAGGTCGGAAGTCATGAATGGAACTAATTTCAAAGTCTCGTTTTGCCACCTTTCGCTGCAGAATCTATCTCGGCTCGAATTCGGCACGTCGACAGGGTTTGCATGCTGCCATGTCTTCCAGTCAGGACGAGGCATGATTGCATGTTTGATTGTGCAATTTTTGGCCTACAAAGGGTTGGGTGAGTGGCTGCAACATGCTTGTCAGTTCAGGCGGACATTTTCGCAACGCTGTTGCAAGACAAGCTGGACAAACAGATGAATGAGCTTGTCAAGCGCCTGCACGGTGTGTTCTCTCAAGAGTTGGACGTCGGCCTGGAAAAATTGTGGGATCGCTTGCAGCACTTGCACTCGTTGAGACCAGGCAGTACCTGCGTTTCGGAAAAGTCCGAAAGTTCCACAAGTTCTGATGCGGTCCACGTCGGCGGCACGGAAGATTTCGCCAGTTTTGCAGCTCCTCATTGTGTTCTTGAGCCCGCAAGCAACATGCAGGACGATGTGTTTCCTGGCGTGCGCGAACCAGTGGAATCCCAAGCTGCTTCTGGGGAACGCCCTTCATCCATTCTCGAAGTTCCCAAGTTGCGTCGACGAAGCACGATCTGCGGAGACCCAGGAAGGATAGCCCAAGTTGGTGCAGCAGAGATTCGTCATAGTCTTTTGCATTCCGTAGCTGAGCTTGATGTACCAGATGGGAGTCATCAAACGTTTCGGCAATCGGTCCTGGCGATGCTGGCATCACCTGCGTCGATGCAGACAGATAGCTGGGAAGTGGAACATGGACACCACACTCGTCTCACGAGCATGCGAATCAGTTTGCAGCGGAAGATTGTCGAAACAACATGGTTTGAAGGTTTCGTGGTGTGCTGCATTGGCCTGAACACGATCATGATTGGAGCCGCCAGTGATTGGAACCTCAAGCACATAAACCAGGAAGAGCCCAAACATTTTCGAATAGCAGAAAGACTCTTCGCGGGAATTTTCGCCTTTGAACTTCTCGTGCGAGTGGCTGCATACGGCCCAGCCTTCTTCTGGCGAATGGCTTCATGCTCCAACTTCAGAAACATTTGGTGATAGTTGATGCCGTTGGTTGTTGATTTTGTTTTGATGAACACTTCCAAACAGATCTCAGCACCGACTCGAATAGTTTGCTTTGCAGACGTAAGGATTGGCAGTGGAATTATTTTGACGTGGTGATTGTCAGTGTGCAAGTTTTTGAAGAAGTATCCACTCTGCTAGGGGAGGATCATCAGGGAGAAATCCAGCTCAGCACATCGTCAAGTGCAATCCGAATCATACGGACGCAGCTTGGTGAATTGTTCAGTCAGTCTGTTGTGGCGCATGTTCCGCCGCTGTGCCGTTTTGCTGTGGTGGCTTCGAGGTTCCGGCTGTTGCGCATCCTGCGAATCGTTCGACTGCTGCGCTTCATCCAGGCTCTTCTCCGCGAGAGCGACGGAACACAGTAGAACCGTAGCCAGAGAACTGTTGGCAGCACAGGAGCTTCGATCCATGCTGTTCTCGATTTTTTCTACTCTTCGAGCCCTTGGCTGGACTATGGTGTGCCGTGGCTTCACTTTTGCGTTGTTGCCCTGTTGTGTTGCAGAGCCGCAGCTTGCCTTCGAGGCTTCTGGCCATGATCATTTTCGCGGCGGCAGTTTTCTTCGCACAGTGGCGTGCTTACGTAGTTTTGGCTCAGCTCACCATACCATGTTGTTTGCACGTTGTGGTGCAGCTGACCGGAAGGTTTATCATTGATGCTGGAGCTCTGAACAAGGAGCTCATGCTGCAGCACCCCGAACTGCAGTTCTACTTCTCGGACTTATCTCGCCCCTTACCGGAAGCTTCGGTCGTTGCTACTTCAGAGTTATTCCGCATGATAGCCGTGGGCAAGGTCCAAAAGAGCAGCTGACTTGTTGGCTTCCGCAAGGTCGTTTGGGATCTTCGAGATTTTCCGCTAGCGGTTAGTGAAGCCGAGGCACGATGCTGTCTTTGTACCAGTCGATGACGGGCGGACTCAGTTGGGACTTGGCTTTGCGACCACTGGCATCTAAGCGGCAGATATGAGTGACTTCAGGCAGTGAGTGTTGTATGGAGGCATGGCCACGGAGGAACCAGAAACGTGGAACGATTCCGGGCAAGATGTTCCATGTTGACCTTTGCTGGTTGTCCGAGGCTGACACTGCCGGAGCTTGGATCGGAATTCCCTACGTGCCTCGGATTACTCGGCACCGAGCTGCATGGCCTTGATTTTCTGATGAGGTGTGCGGTGTGCCCTCTGTGGCTGAAACCCAGGCACTTTACGTGGCCTTTGTGGTTCTCGCTCTTATGAACATTGCGACCGGAATGTTTGTGCAGGCTTCTTTAAGTGCTCACGAGCGGCAGAGGGAGAAGGCACCAACGCTGGGGTGCATGCCGCCCCCGCAGTGCAAGTCGTGTGACTGATTAAGACAGTCCGGCCATGTTCGGACAGTAAGATGTGTTGGCATCAGGAGATTCGAAGGCAACTGCGGCTGTTGTTTCGCAAAGCCGATCTCAATCAAGATGGCGACCTCACAATGGAAGAGTTTGCTGGCTGGCTGCAACGTCTTGTTGGAGTGCAAAGTGGCATTTAAGCCTGCGCTTTTCCACAACCTTAGACTGTGGAGCCGTTCCCTGTTTGCCCGTGGCTAGATACGAAAGAGTGCAGAAAACCTCAACTTGGTGGAAGGATTTCTCTAGGTGATTACCACGCAATCCGGTGCGCCGAAACCAAGTAAAGTTTATTGCATCTCTGATCTGAAAGCCAAAGCGTCAGGATCGCTTCATAGAGAGCGAGGAGCAGTCGAAGTACTTTCTTAGTGCCCTGGGCATGGAGGCACAAGAAGCACGAGGCTGTGGAATTTGCATTCTCCGCCCACAGTTGGACTAGTCTGGCTGTCGGATCCATTTCCTGACTCGCTTGCTGAGTCGAGCACGGTCAGGCCTGTTCCTGCTGCTGGACACCACGGGGTCTTCAAAGGTGAGCTTCGATGAACTTCTGGACGGCGTCCTGCGCCTGCGGGGCCCTGCCCAGGCAATTGATCTGGCCACATTGATGTACTGCAACAAGCGTGACTTGGCCCCCCATCACTGCGTATTGCTTATTAAACTTGCGTATATTGATGTTTCATTACTTTGGGCCAAGGCATGATTTCATGGCTTCGAGAGAGGCTCAGTGCAGTGCAAGAGTCTCTGGACGTGATCCACGCGCAGCATGGGCACGGAGAGCCTCGGACTTCACGGCCACGTAAAGTGAGTGTTTATGCTAGCTGGAAGGAGGTCATGACGCGAGTTGCTGATGAGTGATGACGGTCTTGAGATACTTCATTCATGTGCTTTCTTGACTTCCGTGTATGAGGTGCGACGGTCAAAGATCGTCGCAGTTTCCTTCAGATCATCAGATTGTCTTGGTGGCGCACTTGCTTCATGCATGTCATCGGCTTTTTGGACGTGTCCACTGGCCCCGACATTTTTATGAGCGGGCCATGGCCAGCCGATATTTGTGATTTCGAGTAGCACGAATGGCTTCTAACTCAAGCAGGAAGCCAAACAATTCGTTTGCCTTATTCGCCTGTCCCTTGCTGAACCGGGGCGCAGAGAGAGCCCTGTCTTTGAACGACCATGGATCATGGACAAGACCCTTCCCCTTTGCTAGTCGAGCATCTCATGCGCGTTCGTTTAGAGCTCGTTTAGAGCACATTGGAGCAGTGTGGGTTAGTCCCAGACCGAACACTCAGAGCTGCGCAACCCATAGGTTCTGACTTTGGCTGGGACTTGGCCATTTCACAATTCCTTGTGACGTTTTGGCAGCTGAAGTTGATTGTTGTAGAGCTTATTTGACATCGTCCTATCTCAACAAGACAGAGCTACAGCTTGCTTACCAATCTCAGCTGCCACCTGGCCAGGCTGCATGCCAATTCGCTTGCCGCTACATTGTGCACATGGCAGTTCGACAAAAAGCGTGGGATTAAACTTAGAGTGGGTGAGCCTGCTGGTAAATCTGTGAACTTAGAGGGCGAAGTCGAAAGCATGCTGCCTATACCTTAGCTGCCTGCCTAGGCTTACTCAGCACGAAGCTTCACGCCTCATCGAATCCATGCGAGTGGCACGCCATTTTTGCAGGATTTGCAAGAAAAGCATTGCCCACGCTGCTGCTTTGCCTGCAGCCGCAGCATGCTGCAGCCCTCACAAACATTCACACTGCTCGAGCCATAGTTTAGCCTTTGTCGGGCCATGTTGAATCCTGATGCTGCAAGTCTGCTGGATCGGCTTGCCCTCTTTCCCAGATTTAAACCCTGCCTAACTTGTTCCATGGTGTGTGCAGAACGTTGAGCTTAGACATGCTGCATGCTTGGCAGAAGATTGTGTGCAGGAAGGTGATCAGCATCACACTTTGGTCCTCGTGGGAGTGACTGGTGATGGGAAGAGCTCTACAGGAAATGCATTGCCTCTTGTCAGCAACAGTCAGCAACTGCAAACGCTAGTGGTCGCAAAGACTCTGAAGCTGTTGTTTGCAAATCGCGGACCTCTACTTGGTCGCTCCTCCCTGCATGGCCACAGGATAGGCTGATAGGCTAGGTCAGCGCCAGTCCATGCCTTTTTGGCTTACACGGAGGGCCTGGAATGTGTTGGCTGCATCATGTTTTGTGTCGTCGCCTTCTTCATGTTTCCAGTTCGATTGTCTGTCTGCTATCAAAATGATGCAGCATGGTCTTGCACCTCTGCCAATCTCTCCAGGTGTGGACAGGCTGTGTTTCCAGTTTCTGGCGGTCTTCATTCAGAAACGCAGGCTGACATTGGTAGTTGCATGTTGCTTGGAGCACGATTGCTAGTGTGAGCCCTTCAGAGAAGGAACTGGCACACGCAGATTACCTGCGTAGCGGCAGCTTCTGGAGAATCATTGACACGGTCGGCTTGAATGACACGGGTCTCTCCCAAAAGGAGGCTGAGCTTCACATGCTTCGAGCATGAAGCTCAAGAGCTGCACATTCGGGCCCCCGCCGTGTGACCTCTTGCATCGCATGTGGGTGAAGGTGCTAGATCGGTTCTCCACCTTCGCTGAAGCAGCGGCCGAAGGTAGGGTTGCCAAAGCATTTGTCGACTGGGGTTCGGCCTGCGAAGCTTCTCGAGGAATCAGCGTCTTCCTGTTCGTCGTGCGCTGGGGCCGCTTCAAACCTGAGCATGACGAGGCCCTTGCGGCGTTTGCCGCGAACTGCGGTGAGACAGCGCTGCGTCGCCCGGTTAACATCGGAAACTTAGATCGGTTTCCGGATCTGTGTGTCTGGATGCCAGGTCAGTTTATGCCTTACGATTGTGTATTCCGCTTGGTGCATCGAACAGCCGTTGCAGCCGCACGTTAACGATCATTTCCATTTGTGAACATGGTTCCACGCGGAATCGAGCGTCTAGTTGGGGAATGGCTGGTTTTGATGTGGTGTGCTGCCGGTGATGTTCGTCTCGAGTGGGTGCTTGTGGAATCGAGCGTCTAGATTGGGAATGGCTGGTTTTGATGTGGTGTGCTGCCGGTGACGTTCGTCTCGAGTGGGTGCTTGGGAATCGAGCGTCTAGATTGAGAATGGCTGGTTTTGATGTGGTGTGCTGTCGGTGACATTCGTCTCGAGTGGGTGCTTGTGGAATCGAGCATCTACAGCAGATGGGGAATGACTGGTTCCGATGTGCCGTGATGCCACTTGCACCGGTGATGTTGTATTGTGAGGACATGGATGTGTGTCTCGAACGGGTGCTTGCCCATTTCGGAACTAAGCACATGGCCCTGTGGAAAATAGGCCCAGCTCACCCAAACCAGTGGCTATGGGTACACGCACGCGCACAGACACACATACATAGGACATAGTGACATAGAGACAGAGGCATGCCTACATGGGCGATGGCTGGTTTGGGCGTGCTGTGATGCGACTGATGTGTGTCTTGTGCGTGCGCTGATGAATCGAGCTTCTACATGGGGAGTGGCTGGTTTTGGGGGTCTTCCGGTGCCAGTGATGTAACTAATGTATGTCTCACCGGCATGCTTGTGAAATCGAGCCTCTACATGGGGAATGGCTGGCTTGGACGTGCTGTTATATCTGTCATGCCACTGATGAGTGTCTTGTGCGAGCGCTTGCAAGTCGAATTGGCTGGTTTTGATGTCATTGGTGGTACTCCAAAGATCAGTGCTCGATACGTGGACCGCGGTTGCAGCCAAAGGATCAAGACACGCAATGTGGATCTCGAGTGCTTTTCGATACCCAGGGCATCGATTCATGGGACGGGAAGAAGCGTCGTCTACTTGGGGATTCGGTGCCAAAATGTGCTCTGCAATGCAATGAAAAGTACTTGAAACCCCGCGCCCGCGGCATATCCTGAAAATTGAGCTCGTGCGACTTGGAGACTAAAAACAGCGTCGACATGGGGATTAGCATCTGATGATGCGTATTCTCGCCGTTGATGTGTAATTCCTTGAAACAGCGTCCACACTCGGGTGATGTGTATTTTTACCGACTGACGTGAGATAAGCGCTACGCTCGTAAGTCGCATCATGTTCTTTTGGATCCCACCTCACACTGGGGGGAAGCACCCCGGGGTCGGGTGTCGCATCACCGAGCGTCTACTTGGGGATTCGTGACCACGTTGATTCGGGATTGTTGAGGTTTGAATCGTTCTTTCTGTAGTACTAGGTGCTTGCCGGCTGGTTTTGATTTGCAGTTTGATGCGATGTCGCTGATGTGTTTCCGGAGCGGGCACTTGCGAAATCAAGCGCCTACATTGGGAATTGCAGGTTCTGATGTCTAATGATTCCACCGACGTGTGTCTTGCGCGGGTGCTTCTCAAATCGTGTGTCTCACTGGGGATTGGCTGGTTGGTGGTGCTGTGATGCCACTGATGTTTGCATTGAGTGCGGGCTTGTGAAGTCGGGTGTCTCACTGAGGAATGGGCGGTTTGAATTGGTTGGATATGTGATGATTCCACCGACATGTGTCTTGCCGGGCTGCTTCTCAAATCGGGCGTTTACGCTGGCACGGCGTCTACATGGGGAAACCCATGTTGATGCGACCATGATGTGGCCTCCTCTCATCGCGCACGTCCCCTTACACAGCTGTGTTCCAACAAGGAGTGATGTGACTTAACTTAGGGCCTTGACTGTATGGCTCTGACTACTGGTTTTAAATGCCCCATTACTATTGCTACACGCTTTGGCCTTGAGTGGTTGTATCCTGGTTTGAGTGAAACTAGCCTAGCGGCCTCGCGGTGCTATATTGCTGATTGCCTTTTCAAAACCGAATAAGGTCACACTATGCTCGTCTTCACCCACTGCGAGCTGAGCGATGAGGCGCTGGTGCGGCAACTCTCGGCACCTTTGCTGCTACAGGTAGCCTTCAGGCACCCGCACGGCCAGTGAGTAGGGTGCCGAAACATTCACTGTCTTGAGAAGTGGAGTCGAAGCACAGGACCCGTCCACCCCGTTGTCCCTGTCGCGGTGGCTGCAGCGTATTGGTGGCTTGGTTGCAGGTTTTCCGGATGCAGGTCTTGCTAATTCCTGTAGGTTTCACGTGTGCTGTTCGGGAATGCCTCTGCCCGTACCGGTGGCTTCATAGGCCTGCCGTCCTACCGCTCGATTCTCCTTGATGAGGCGGTGGTGCTGTGGGAATAGACAATGCCGATGGTGCAACTGCAAGGACCCGTCTTCAGAAGGCAATTGAGAGTGAGGCGCACAGTTCCAATAAACAAGATGTTTCTGCAAGCGTGTGCTTGTGCTAGCGCTGAAATAAGCCTTGCGAAACGGTGCAGTCCGCAGCTGACTGGACTAAGGTGTGGTGACAAGCACTGGCGGCCTACGGTACGACAATCAGGCACCATTTGTGTTGCAACTTCCATTCCGCAAGTGCTCTTGGTTGACGGCAGTCCCACTTTTCTCAGAATGAGGCTCTCGTGCAGGCGCGGGAACAGCTAAAAGAAGCAGAGGAGGCTGAGAGACAAGCATTCGCAGCTGCCGTGGCTGAATGGAGACGCGGTACTGGCCCCGCCGCCGGTTGCAAACGAAGTTCTGATGCGGTTTTAGATGTGCTCTGCTGAATCACATGTCTTTCCCTAAGACTCTTCAAGGTGGTCATTGAAAGAGAGCCCGGTGTGATAACACGCCCGCCCGGTGTGGAGTGAAGGCAAATCTGCACCCATGGCGGGCAATGTCGAAGTGGCTGAGCTTTGTTTGTCGTGGCAGCTTTTCATTAAATCAGGCAGCTTTTCATTAGGCCACATGCACACTCCATTGCTCCTTAGCCATTTGGCTCAGCAGGATCTGGTAGCTTGTATGGACCGGTTCCATGGCGCTCAGACATTCCGACTCTGCAGACATGGATGATGGGAGTTGTGTAAGTGGGCGTGCACCAGGAGACGTGTGCATGTCAGATCGGCTCATACCGTCGCGAGGTTCATGCAGTGAAGTTAGACAGCTCAAGTTGGAAAGAGACGAAAATTGGGCACCGCAAAACGAGTATCACGAGGTCCTTTCACAGAATGTGCTTGGAAAGGAGGCCTTGAGCAATGTGAAGATCTTGAGCTACCAGCATAAGCCAATGAAGCAAGAGCCAACTCTCAATGAGTTGAAGGTGCTCTACAGCAGCAACCGCGATGGCGCCAGAGCCGGGCCTAGGACATGCAGGCAGCTTCCTCAGAGTGCTGCTAAAGTTCTGGACGCACCTGGCATGCTGGACGACTTTTACAGTCACCCCATCGACTGGTCATCGCAGAATGTGGTGGCCGTTGCACTATCTGACATGGTCTTCCTGTTCCATGCAGCTACTGGCAGCACACAGAAACTCCTGCAGCTGCCCAGTGGTTCCATCACAACTCTCCGCTGGACGGAGGCAGGGGGTCATCTGAGCGTCGGCGCATCAACAGGTGAGGTGCAAATCTGGGACGCAGTGGCTCAGCGCCAGCTGCGAAATCTTCGTGGGCATGCTGGCCGAGTTGGAGCACTTGCCTGGCATTCACATATCCTCAGCAGCGGTTGTGCAGATGCAGAGATCCACCAACACGACGTTCGCATACGTGATCACCTGGTCAGCCGAATGATCTCTCATGCAGACTTGGTCTGTGGTCTTGACTACAATTCCGAAGGGATGCTGGCATCAGGAGGTAACGACAACTTGGTTTGCATCTGGGAGACCCCTAGCTCTTGCGTCCCTTTGCACACCTTCACAGAGCACCAGGCTGCGGTCAAAGCCATTCGGTGGTGTCCGTGGCAGCGACATGTTTTGGCGACGGGCGGAGGCTCTGCAGATCGCCAAGTCTGCCTCTGGAATGCTTCTAGTGGCCGCATGTTGATGTCTACGCATGCAGAGAGCCAAGTTACCGGGATAATCTGGGGGCAGCAGGAGCGAGAACTTCTGACGGCTCATGGATATTCGAGGAACCAGCTGTCTCTTTGGAAGTATCCTTCGCTTGTCAAAGTTGGTGATTTGGAAGGGCACGAAGGGAGGTTGCTGGGACTCGCGCAGAGTCCAGACGGTTCGCTTGTATGTTCCTCCTCCGCTGATGAAACGCTCCGATTTTGGAGGGTGTTTTCTCCGGTGGGTGACAAGCGGGCTTCCACCAGCCAAGCCGCAACAAACACCATTTTGAAAACTATTCGATAGTTCTGCATAGACCTTCAAGCAACAGGTGCCTTGCTCAAATTTTTGCTTGTTTTTTGGCAAGGGCCCGCGGATGGCCAATAGTATCCGCCTGTCCTTGTGCACCAATTGAATTCAGATATGCCAAATGCTCCATAATGCCAATTGATCGTGCGCTCAAAAGGTACCGTGGACCCTTAGCACAACAATTGCTGCTTGTTGTGTAAAGCCGCTACTTCATGGCACGGCTCCTGTGGTCGTTCGTTGCAGGTGCGCGACCTGTCACTGCGACCTTGCTGAAAGCCCCTTCATTTAGGTGGGCAACAGAAACCGTGCCAGACAGGTCTCGGCGAGCATGAAAGCACCGGAGCCCGCCAACTCGCAGTGCCAAAAAGGTGATGTGCCCAGTAGTGTCCTCCCATGTCTTCCCGCATCGGCAAAGCCGCACGAATCCCGTGCCAAGTGAGAAGACTCGATGCAATCAACGACTTCAGCGTCTGTGCTTGCTACTAAGGGAGTCTGGGGTAGACGGAGACCGGGCGGCAAAACGAGCATTGCCCACATCAGGGCTGCGAAAAAAGCAGCGAAGGGGACAGCGCCGCGAAATGACAGCACCACGAATAGGCACCAACCCAAAATACTGGTACCAAACGCTCGGCAGAGCTCGGCGAATGTATGTGCATCATTCACAGCGTATCACAGCAGGGGAGAAGGCATGATTGACGTTGAGATGGGGCCGACGACACACACACACACATGGCAGAGCAGCAGAACCGGAAGGATTCGGTTCTTCCATTTGAGTCCATAGAAAATGGAAATCCTCGATGCTGCAGGGGCTGTCATGGCTGGCGCACTGTTATCCACGGCCGTGGATAACCAGTCCGCAACAAACTTCAAGAAGCATGCGTCCAGGAATAGTTTCAGACATTGCCCAGGATCAGATAACAGAACAAGGGAACCTGGTGAGAAGGGACAAGCAAACAGAGCATCCGAAGTCCACACATTCCCACACAATCCAAGCACGGAAGAAGTCACAAGCAAGAGAGTGAGATGAACCAAATGCTACATGCGTACACTCTGGAATGGAGGCGCAGCCCCGCGCAAGCCATAAGTTTATTTTCCAACCCATGACAATCCCAAGTCGTCCCAAACTCATTTTGCGTATTCGCTTCCCCACGCGAGGAAGCGGGCACTGCCCAGCAATTGCAGGCAATGTTGGGGATTCGTAAGGACTGTAGGTCTCACTGCAGGGGACGAGAGGTTTCAACATGAGCAACAGATAGAAATCTGTTATGTGATAGTAGTTTGCACTACAGGAAGTTCCCATTGTGATGTCAGCTCAATCTATTCTGGGGCGGCTGCCTGATGTAGTCTTCCGGGAGTGTTGCATTGCGAGACCCTTGGAGTGGAAACAATCCATCACACTGATGCTTTGCAGACTCTTCGCAGTCAAGACAATTGGAGACATTGAAAGGCTCCTCTTCAAACAGTCATTGAGGCCCTTGTACCTCGTGCGGCGTGCTTGCAGTGATGGCAGCCTATAAAGCTATCGGTCTTCATCGCGAAAAGGGTTTCAGGACCCCTGCTCAGGGAAATGATCTGGATCAAACCAGGTTGGCCGCCATGTCATGTCGGACTCGTGCTTATAGCATCTCATAGCCCCATGTTCGCTGCGGTACGGTGTATTACGAGTTACTCCAAGATCAATTGCGTTTGATTCCGTTTGATGTGCGAGATCGTGCTATTCCATCGAAGAGAAGATGCCAAGCGGCCAAACGGTCGCTTATCCCTACCACTGACGAAAACTGTATACCGGGCCATGGTGAAAGCTTTGAGAATCATCCGTGTGAGTATCGACGTATCTGCATGATGGACCAACCCCAAAACGAAACAGACTTTTCGAAAGCAGCCCCGTCCCTGTGATTGTTGTTCGTTCTCTTAGGTGTTTGGACGTGAATGTAGGCCGCGCCACAGTTTGAGCCCGTCAAAGGCCACATCGCTGCGAATGTTTCAAGCTCTGTAAGATATGATCGCTCAAGCAAAAATCGACAACACACCACAAACTCAGCTCCAGCTTCGACAATGTGCCTATATGATCCAGGCACCAAGCAGCCAAAAACAGTACAAGCGAAACCAATACATACAAAAACAACTCTGGTAGCCTGGTCCCTTGCTAAGCGAGACCTGGAGGATGACACGGCGAGCGAGAGAGAGTGCAAACTCGCAGCTGCAAAGAGAGGATGTTTTGAAGTGATTTCGTGGGAACACAGCACGGAGGAGCCAACGCAATTAGGAAGTTGAAATGGCCTTGGCTGCAAAAAATGTCACACCCTGCCCTGCCAGATCTTCGCCGGGTGGGGTTTGTCCTTTGCGGCTAGGATTTTTTGAGAGAGGCCAAGCAGAAAGCTCTTCTTCGACTTAGCGGAAGGACGCACCAACTGCGCCTGTTACACGCTTCGCTTAGATCAGGAGAAGGCTTCAGCCAAAACTTGAGCCAAAGTTAGCCAAACCAAGACCTGATCACGTGAAGAGTCCCTCCAGACGCCCAATGACCATGGACAGTCGTTCGTAAGACTCTAGATCGCAGGAGTCTGGGATATAATCAGGATAAATGCTGTGGCCGTTCGTAGTTGTGCCGACAAGGCTTGCAATGTTCGGAGTTTAGGAGCTCGAACAGAGCTCGAATGGGAAAAACTTGTCAAGATTTGTCAAGCGAGCAGCGACCTTGAAGCGCTGTGCCCAGTTGTGAGTGCTGGAAACCAAAAAAATGGTGTAACATTCCCTGGCAACAAGAGCCGCGCAGACTGACAGACTTTGTTTTGCCATTATATGTATGTATACACACACATATATATATATGTGCATTGACCCGGGAAACTGGGTCCCGGTTTCGTCCCCACCTGAAGCCGAAATTCCGAAGCTTTTGAAGACGAAAATGTTTGCCAGGAGCTGAAGCTCAAATTGTGCGCGAAGACGAAATTTGAAGACGAAAATCGGCCCTGAATACGAAA